TGAAAGTGCATCCTCATCACCAACTCCCAGAGCGAGGTTCTACATGAATCCTGTTGGGGGATGACGCAACTGTGGCAGAAGCCCGGACCACATGGGACTTTCCGAAAATTAGGGTACCTTCTTTTGCTGTCCTTAGAAGAAGGAACCTATTATTTGGGGTACTATACTAGGATCCCCTATTTTTGGAAACCCCCACATTGTGGTATGGCTCTGGTTAATTGAGGCCCGGGAGCAGGGAGCTCAAGGAGTAATATAGGGGGCCTTAATAATTTAGATAGGGTTTCGGGGCATATTATCTTTTTGAAATTCATATAGTAAGGAACCCCCCCCAAAAAAAACAAAATGTTTTATTGGTAATTATTTTTAGACTCCGAAAGTAGTCCTACACAGGCCCAGCTCCCTCTTCAGCCCGGGCCTCGAGCCAATCGCCGACTTCCAGGCACTTCACGCGCTGCGAGCAGCGTTCCACCTCCTCATGCACGCGAACGCCTTGGCTTCGGGGCTATGTTTTTTTTTTTTTTGTTAACCCTCTTTTCCCTCAGCTATCCGCGTCCGGAATTCCTGGCGGGGTTTTGGATTTCAGGCTGACTTGCGAAAGCCGCCAGCTTGGGGTGTTGGCTTCGTGGCGTCAGGCAAAAATTCGCCCCGTGCGCTGCAAAAGTACACCATCGGCGAGCTGCGCTGACTGCCACTTTGAAGTCGGTCTTGTGAAGTCGGGCAAAAGAATCCGTTCGTTATCTGATATCTGTCCAGCCAAGGGATCCGCTAGACTAGCTGCGACAGTCAGACTCTCGTTCGTTCCGTTTGCTATTTGCGAGTACCACCACGGCAAAGCAGATTCTCAAGACCTGCATTGGTGGGCTGTGGCAACAGCCTGCTCGCTGATGAGCGCTTGTTGCAGTTGTTCGGCTGCTGGTTCCCTGCTTTCCGATTGGGTTGTCCGGTCGGGCGGATGGTTAGGTCCGTAGCCTGGATCATATATTTGTTGGCTAACCCAACGTCTCTGAGTCTCCTGTGTCTCTACGAACCCCAAGGCTATAATCACTACAATTTCACCAGTATTGCAGACAGGCATCAAATGCGGCCTGTGCGGTTGGCAAACACGGACACGATCCTCTGGATGTTCTTTGTGCACGGCAGATCCGACGACAGAATGAAGCCAACCTTGATCGATCGTCGAGGGCACATCTCATGAGTAGCCCCTCATCCCTCTGCGCCTGCACTTCTGCAGGTCATCGTAACGCATTCGATTCGGATGGCGGTGGCACTCATGCAGCCGAGCGACCCCATCCGCACTGCAAAGCTCTCCCTCAGTGAACTGCACCTCAGTTGTAAAACAAACGTTTCAGATGTAGGCAAGCATGCAGGGCCTGCACATGCATCTGAGCGAAAAAATAGAATGCCCCCTTAAATCTTGACCTGTGCGTTTGAAGCAGACCCAGACCACATCGACGACTGAGGTCGGTGGACACACTGACGAGTCTTACCAGTAATAGCAGTAGCAGTAGCAGTA